CTGTGCCCGCAGAGGATTCAGTTCCTGCAGAGGGTACAGCGCCCGCAGCGGTTTGATCACCTGCAGAGGCTTCAGTGTTTGCAGGGGTGGCAGTGCCACCAGACACCACACTCACCACAGGTGCCACAACAGCAGCCACAGCGGCCGCAGGCACTGCTGGTACACTGGCGGCAGACGGGTTTACGACTTCGATGTGTGCTGCATCTGCATCTTTCGCAGCGGAGTCGGTAACAGTGCCTGCAGGTGTCACCATGCCTGCAGGGGTAGCAGTACCTGCAGGGGCTGGGGTCTCAGTGCCTGCAGTGGCAATGTTTGTAGGGGTCACCGTGCCTGCAGGGGTGGCCGTGTTTGCAGGGGTCAGAGCGCCCGTTGGGGTGTCAGCGCCTGCAGTGTTTGCAGGGGCCAGGGTGCCTGCAGGGCCTGCAGGGGTCACAGTGCCTCCAGGAGTGGCAGTGCCCGCAGGTGTCACAGCGCCCGTTGGGGTCTCAGTGCCCGCAGTGGCGGTGCCTGTAGCAGGCGTGGCAGTGCCCGCAGGGGTCACAGTGCCGGCAGAGTTCACAGTGCCGGCAGGGGTGACAGTGCCTGCAGCTGTTCCACCAGATACCACCTGCGCCACAGGTGCCACAACAGCAGCCACAGTGGCCGCAGGGACTGCTGGTACATTGGAAGCAGATGGGCCTGCGACATCGATGTGCACGGCCTTGGTATCTTTCGCATCGGCGTCTGCAGGCGTTCCGGGTGTGTCTGCAGCGGCGGGGCTGAGAGGCTGAGGCGTTGAGAGTTCGAGTGTCGGTGTGCCGAACGATGCTGGCTCTGCAGCTCCCAGGGTCGGTGTCGCCGGTGCTGCGATCTCTGGGCCTGCCAGTGTCGGTGTTGCTGCTGTTTGGGTCGCTGGCGCCACGGCGGGTGTCAATGGTGTTGGGAGCTCAGCGGGCTTCGCTGGTGTTGGGAGCTCGGCTGTTTTGACCGAGGGTGCCACAACCGGTGCTACAACCGGCACCACTGCCGTGTTAGATTTGGGCGCTACTGGCACTACCACCGTCGGTCCAGCAGAGGCCCCATGTGCAGGGCCAATGGCTTCACCCGCTCCAGCTTCAGCCACCTCTACACCAAGCACATCGTCGTCGATGTTGCCGGTGCCCTCGGTCGGATTCGCTTGGGATGCTGCCCTTGGCAGCTGGCATTGCGAATAGTACTCGGTCACGAACTTGCAGACTGTACCAGTTTGGCACTTCACGTAACCCTTCCAGTCCAGGCCGCCACACTGCCCATTTAGCTGCTGAATCCCGTCAGGGGGTGGCTGCTTTTCTGGCGCAGCGCACTCACACAAAGGAGACAGGGCCGAGGTGAACTCTGCTGCGCAGCTCATCTCCGTGCCGACATCACAGCTGTGCAGGCTTGCCTTGAAAGCCTTCTTGCAGGCCAAACCCCCTTGTGCCTGGCAGTAGCCCTCGCAGGAACGGTAGGATGTGGCAGCCTCTGGTGCGACAATGACCTGGCAAGCCCCACACGTCCTGCTGACTCCGCGCCACAGGGGGTTGGGATTTCCGCAATCCACCACACGGGTGACTCCGACGTGTGCAATGGCTGTGCCCAGGTGGTGGTCCTGGACAGCCTTCCCGTCCTCACAGGCCGCTGAGTAGAAGTTCAGCTCATTGTTGATGTCGTAGGCATGTCCTTCACCATGAGTGACAAACTCGTAGGGCTCGCAAAGGTTGGCATTGTTGGTAGTGCAGGGCACGCCACCACACCAAACGCACGGCTGACCCTCCACCTTGAGTCCAGCAACTTGCGTATACGGCCGTCCGTCTTTGCTTGAAAGGCAGGTCTCTTTATCCTGGATGGTGTTGCAGCCATTCTCTTTGCGCTTCAGGCAGCTAACGTCGCCAAAGTTTCTTGTGGATTCTGATTTATCACAGCCTGCAACGTCAACAGTGAGGGCAGTGACGTGGCGAGTTGCATATGCCGGGCCCTGCCCATTGACAAGAAAGTCCAGCGCCACACACTTCACGGAAGGATCGTGAGATGTGCAAGCCACTCCACCGCACCAAGCGCAAGGCTGCCCGGCAATCTTGGTGCCACGGTAGGTTGCGTTGGGGCTACCATCCACGCTGCTGAGGCAGATCAGCTTGTCCGTGATGGAACCGCAGCCTGTGGCTACGCTGTTCAGGCAATGCTGGTTGGTGTCGGCCTCCGGCCGAGCGACCGCTTGGGCGAACGCCTCATTGGTTTCTTTGAGCGCGCTCGTCGACGGCTCGCATTCGCAAATTGCATGTCTGTGGACTGGGAAGTCGGTTTCGCAGGAAGCTGGTTGCTTCACATCGCAGCTGCCAAGGTCACCGAATGCGGCCGATTTGCACTTCAAGCCACCTTGGGAAGTGCAATACTCCGCGCAGCTGGCGAACTGCTCCTTGATCGAGGGCACCAAGACCTTGCAGAAGCCACATGTCTTACCCACCTTCATCCACATCGGGTTAGGGTGCCCGCACTGCACTGCTTGGTGGTAGCCGTGTACCTCCATATGACTTGGCAACTGCACGGCGCCCGGCTGGCCATCCTTGTCACAGGATGCCCTGGAGTAAAGCGCAGTACTCAGCTGGGTCGCGAAGGCGTGCCCTGCTCCATTGACAGCGTACTCGTATGGCTCGCACAAGTTGGGTGATCCGGTGTTGCACTGCCCACCACCGCACCACACGCAAGGCTGACCCTTGACCTTGAAGCCAGCGATGAACTCATAGGGGCGGCCCTCCTTGCTGCTCACGCAAGTTTCCATGTCCCGAATGTAATTGCAGCCAGTCTCAGCAGTCTTGAGGCAAGCTAGCTCTTGCTCGGGGAACGTGCGGCTTTCGGCATGGCACTGGGCCACTGTCGCAGACACCGCCGTCACGTGGGGAAACACCTTGGTTGCGCCTTTGGTGAGGTAGTCGAAGGGCGCGCACTTGAAGCTTCCACCATCTGTGCAGGATGTGCCGCCGCACCACACGCAAGGCTGTCCGCGGATCTTGAAGCCTCCGAAAGATGCATCGACAGAGCCATCGATGCTGCTGAGGCATCCCAGCTTGTCGGTAATCGCCATGCACCCTGCAGGGTGAACAGTCAGGCAGCCCAGGTCATCCATCTTCGGCGCAGGAAGATCCAGAACAGCTGAGTGGACATGAGGATGCGCTTTGACCATGCCACCCTCGCACTGAGCCACCATGGGATTTTTGTCGAAGCTTGTCACGAAGACGGAGCCCTCGCCGTTCATCTGCAGATCATAGGCTTCGCAAAGGGAACCTGCACTGTTGCAATTCCTTCCGTTGCACCACACGCATGGTTGACCTTTCACTTTGCGGCCAAAAATGGTCGCATTGGGGCGCCCATCGACGCTGGCCAGGCACTTGAAAGCATCTGTGAGCGTGCCGCAGCCAGCATTGTCCCCGGAGAGGCACTGCACCTCGACATCGGCACCCACCACATTCTCAGACTCTTTGATGGTCGCGACCTTGAACGAGTGCTTGGCGTAGAAGGTATTGTGGTGCGGGCCCTGTCCATTCATCACAAGGTCAAAAGGCATGCACAGTGACGTGCTGGCGTCCGTACAAGGCACGCCGCCGCACCAAACGCATGCTTCACCCTTCACCTTATACGGAGTGTATCCCCACGTTGCATTGGAGCTCCCATCCTTGCTGCTCAGGCATGTTGCCATGTCCTGGATGGATGCGCAACCACCTACCACGGGACTCAGCTTGGCAAGCTCGGCCTGCAGAGGGGGCTCTGGCTGCCACCACGTGTCCGTTTGGGCAAAGACAGCGGCCTGCCCTTCCTCACAGGATGGTGTTTCGAAGGTCCCTGAGGCTGTGAAGCTTCCGAACGCATGGTCCTTGCCTTCCCCACGCAGCAAGAAATCGAACGGCTCGCACATACTCGAGCCACCGGTGTGACACAGTCCTCCACCGCACCAAACGCACGGCTCATCATGAACCTTCAAGCCAAAAACGTCCCCGTTGCCACTGGCATCCTTGCTGCTGAGGCAGCTGAAGCGATCCTTGAGAGCAGCGCAGCCTTTCGGCTCAGCCCGAAGGCAGCTTTGGTCCTGCGGCCGCACCATCGCGAGCTTGGCAGCCTCATCCTGATCCTTCCGAGCATAGCATTCGAACCCGGGGTTGCGTGTTGAGAAGAGGATATCCCCATACCAGACCTCGCAGTACTTGTTCTTGGCTTGGAACTCAACCCCTTTGCACCGGTTCGTGCAAAGAGCCTTGCAGTCATCGAGGTTCTGCGCAGTCCAGACGTTGAACAAGCGTGCCACATGCCCTGTCTGGATCTGCATCACTCCACGGCAGGCTCTGTCCTCTCCGCCGTCCATGGGCGTCAACTCAACCTTGCTCCACGGCATGTGGGCCCTGGCATCCGAACTGAACTGACTTTGAGAGGCCGCCGGAGGTGTCACCATGGCAATGGTGTCATCGATGGTGGCTCCTTCTTTGCACTTGGCGACGGTATAGTCGCTTGGGTCTTCCAGCTTGCGAGTCCAATCATCGACACGGGCGCATACCCCCGATTTGTGCCATGCGCAGGGCTTGCCCAGCCGCAAGCTTCCGAACAAGTCGTGGGCCATGCCGTCTCGACTGTTCACGCACAACTTCTCTTCCCGGATGCTTTCGCATCCATCTCCCTGCCAAAGCAAGCAGCTCGTGTTGTCATAGTGCTGCCCGTACTCGTAAGCTTCGGCTTCCAACGAAAGAAGGCCGAAGACCAAACCAAGGAGGACACTCGAGTCTCGAGTCATTGGCGCAATGGTTCTGTGATGTCCACAACTGTCAGGCTCGAGCCGAACGAAGTGCGCACAGAGGCCAACAAGGTTTGATCGCTCATGTCCTGATCAAGCTAGGCGACACTTCTACCAGACTCTTTCAGAACAGCACTTTAGCAGCACTTTAGGACTGAAGGCTCAACGCTTTCTCCCACGGCAAACGAACACGTGAGAGCCACCAGCATGGCATGTCTGGGGCCCATGCTGTCGCGGCTGCCGTCGAGGGGAAGCTTTGGTCTTTGGTGGTCTGGGTAAACGGCTGGAATCCGGTGATGCGCGATTAACTTCCTATGCAAAAGAACCAGTGAGCACCTGCAAACATGTGCCCAAGCTGAGAGGACAACTCCATCTCAACGTGCGTCGGAGTGGCCTGCATTCCATGAGCCCCACATAGCCCCACCACAACTCTTGACACCCAGGCTGAACGACATGGTGTCGTGACTGAACAATGTGCTTTGAACTTGTGCTGATGGATTGATGGGCCCGGTCTGCACCTCGGTCAAAGTCTTGGACGCCGCTGGCTCGGGCTCGCAAATCCAGGCGTTCTGCCTTGCTCGATGAGCATCGAAACTCTCCCTAGTGCAAAAGGCTGGTAAAGCTCACGTTGTGCCCAGCTTTATTCCCTAAAGAGTGCGGGGCATTCTATCAACTTTAAGAGAGCAGTGGTCCTGAGTTCCCCTGCCGGTGCGTGCGGTCGCGCATGCGCGGCTCTTGATTTTGGGATTGCGCCCTTTCATGTGCTCTCGCCCTGCTAGTATAGGCCTGTCCGTATCCTCCCGTTTTGCTGCCTGACTCGCTCGACATCGTGCAGGTGTTACGGATTGTACTTTCCTGGCTCGCAGGGAAACGCTGCTTTGGGTTTCACAGCCCGCCCGCCAGTGTTTGCCTTGAGCGGCTAGAATTTCATCATTATTGCAAAGGTGCATTTAGGTTTATGGTCGTCCTTTTCCCGCACTGCTTGGCGGAACCGTTTTGGCTTGTGAAGGTTGCACTTTTCTACATGCCCTGTTGTCGCAGTGTTCCGACTGGCGAGTTGGCACCGAAAACTTTGAAATCGCGTGATGGGAGCTATTGGCAGCTTCCACATTGGCAAGGTGTGTACCAGGAGCTTTCCACAAGTTAAGGTTTCGGTGCAAAGCGAAGTGGGCTCTCAAATTCTGCCCTTGTGCTCCGAGGGCTCTTGGTCTAGAAGCCTAGGAGGAGCGAATCGAAACTTCACCGAAGGTCCAGTCGCCATCATGAGTGTTTCGGGGTATATACGGTATGTTTCGTGCGTTTGCAACCCGCAGGCCCCCGCAAAAAACGATATTCTGGTTGAAGCAAAACTCTGTCAGTCTCCAAAACCGCCACATGCCCGAACGCCTTCGCAAAACCTGCACGAGCCTCCATGTTCCACAGGTACACACCCGTCAGCAAGCAACAGCTGAGACCCGTGAATTCAGGCGCTCACTGAGCGGAGCTGTCTGGAAGCTGAGGGCCCTCAGCAGCACTGTTGGGAGCAATGCTTGAAAAGCAAGCAGGGTTACTTCTTCGTATGTCCTGAACTCATGCAGCTACAGTGGGCCTGCCTGGCTCGTCTACTCCAAACTCAGGCATCTGGTCAGGGTTTGGGACCAGCATTTTTGTTCGGAACTCCTATAAGCTACGCTATAAAGAACCTTACGCAGTTTCCGGCCGACGAGTGCCTGGCGCCATACCCTGCTGAAGCGAGGAGCTTCTGCAAGCGAATCTCACGATCCTCAGCTCCACAGCTGCAAGTTTTTGAGTGTTGGAGCCTGGGCTGTTAAGCCACCGAGGCACAGCCAAGCTGACGGTCGCACTGAGGCGCAAACAGGTCGGCAGGATATGTCCGACGCGTACTCAGCTGGCGCCTCGGCTAGTGCTTCTTGCAGCCCAGACAAAAAAAGGGAAGGTTTGTAACTGTCCAGGTAAGAGGGTCTCTCTCTCTCCTTTTCTGGCTTTCTGCCGTTTGGAGTGAACATGGGGAGTGCTCCTGTGCCGTGCACGCAGCAGGTGGCTTGACCGAGACAGCCTGATGGGCGGGTTTTCTGGCGCAAAGCTGTGCAAAGGACAGGTGTCCGTCAGGTGGTTCGCTTGCTAAACCTCGCTTCCTCGTCTCTTCTTGAGAGATTGGCGTCCCCCCCCCCCCGTTCAGGTGTGCACACTTTCGTGGCGCTGTCAGTGTGGGACTAAACGACTCTGCGCGTAAACGGAGGCGGGTGTGACGACTTCTTCGCATCTCGGGTGTAGCTGCTTACCAGCTCAGCCCTACAAACATGCGAGGGCTGGAGCGTGGGGCTGGGATCCCTGCTGCCCGCTCAAAGACGCACAATCCTATCTCATGTAATGCAACCATAAAAGCTCCTGGGCTTCTGCTTGTTTGAGTCTCGCGGCTGAAATTTGCTGGCCGCGGTAGCTTCCCTGCACTGGTTCCAGGCATGACCCCCCAAAACTCCAAGGTCCCCAGTGCTTGGATATTTAAAAAGTACGTCGGGGTAGTCTGGGATGTCTGGGTCTCTTCCTCCGTTTCCCTTTCGGCGGTTTTCCTTCTTGTTCTCCATTTGATTGGATTCCACTTGTACCGCTAGGATCTTCTTGGGAGCAGGTGGTCTCTGGCAAGCCGTTCGTGTTGCAGAAGTTGGCTTCAGTAGTTCATCGCTTGGTCCCTGGAGGCGGCATGCTCGCAAGTGTACGAACTTGTCTGAGAATTGCACGAACGAGCAGGACGAGGAATAGCAACACGACTAGTAAATGGAAAGTGGCAACAGAGAGTAGTAACAGTGACCTTTACAGCCTTCATCAGTGCGATCGTAACACGCTGTTGCCGGTAAAGGGCCTAGGGCTAATCATTTTCAGGTTCACTAGCCCGGACTGACAAAACAAGCACTTCTTGTGGAAGCCTGGAGCCAGATGATCAACTGACAACTCGTACAGTAAGCTGTTGGATACCGAAGGCCAGGAAACCCAAAAAGCCTGGATATGCCCAAAAAACCGATTTTGCGCCTCGCTTGTCGGATTGAACTCAACCACACTCAACCACACTTATGGCATGTCCATGGAGCTTTCTAGCGTCCCTGAAGTAAGCTCCAAGCCATAAGCTCGAGGTATATCGAGGCCCGACTTCACAAAGGCGGCAAAAGGACAATTTGTTTGGAGGTTGCTGTGTTTGATTGTGTCGGTGTCGGCGTGCTTATTTAGCTGTCAAGCTGGTGAGCTTGTAGCTCTACTCAATTGAAGTGCTCTATACTCCCTGCCTCATGTTCACAGAGCCGTCTCGCAACCCGAAATCCAGCAGAGCATGAATCAGATCAGATCCAACATGCACTGCGACACCCTTTGATCTTTGACATTGCGGCTGCAAAAGCTTGCAAGCAGCCCTACGACAGTTTGAGCAATGTTGCAATCTGGAGTGCTGCTTTTCATTTCCGAGTCTACTGGTTCCTGTCCTGGCTAGGAAACGCGCGAGATCGCAAATTGTGCAGGCTCAGGTACTTGACGACTTGGCAGTCTGCTCTCGGGCCTCACGCTTCTGGCGCTCCACCTCGTGTCGGCCGTGCATCAACTTCATCTGAGTTCTCTTCAACGATTCACACACACACACACACCCACACCATAAACTTTGGCTTCTGCAGTGACACTCTTGAAAGATTTGTTGATTAGATCGACTGAAGCTGTGTCCAAGGATCCCGCCAACCTCGACGTGGCAATGTCCGGCAATGCCTGACAAACATCCCAATCTACCTGTGATCTTGAATCTATGGCTGGACACTTGTTGATACAATGCCCCCATGCCGCTGCATCACCCGTGCTCTGGAGCAACAACATGCAGGGTGCAGGGCTTCTTGCGGATGAACTGCATTGAGGGCGCAGATGGGCGCATCTCGGCCCGACCTCAGAATTCCGCCTGTGTGGCAGCTTCCGCAAGGCGGCTTTGCAGCTCCTCGCAGGGGGCGACTCAGCGAGGCCCAGCCGTGACATGTCTTCCAGCCGCTGCCTGGGCTTTGAATTGCGCCACCTCCAACACATCGGCAATGATGCCTGAGGCAACATCCAGTCGAGCAATCGGCGCAGCTGCTGAATGTCTCTCCGTCTTGTCACTTGTCGGCCATTCTGGCAGGAGAGAAAAAAAGCAACGGACAGCACCCTGCATGAGATTTGCTGCCGTGCAGGACTTTCTCGGACCTTGAGACTGCGCCCGGGCGATGACTCGGAGTAGTGCGCCAAGATCATCCTCGGACCTTGCTGTGACTAAGTGTTCCACAATAGATAGAGAGACCAAGTAAAGTTGTGCATGCAGCCCTGGCCAATTTCTACACATTTGCAGCAAGTGGCAAAGCCGCCTGGAGCATGTTTCCCAGCTCAGCAGCCTCCCCTGTGGCAGTGCCGCAAAATGAGTCTCGAGGTTGAGTCAAACAATGCAAGCATATGAAGCCTGTCCTGATGCGTCTGATACGAGCTCCTCAGGGTCACCAGTGAGAGACATCCGGTGGACGGCTGTTAGCTGGCTGGCAGTATCTGGCATTCCTCGGGACGAGAGCAGATCAAGTACACTCACATTATGCTGTGGAGAGCGCTTTTCACGAGGTGAGTAATTAGCTGCTGGTTTATTATATTGACTATTCAAATGGGTGGCGGAGGGGGGGGGGTACTGCTGCCGAAAAGCGATCACCGTCGAGATACCAACTTGTCAGGCTCTTCTTGCGAACATCGCGCGCAGTCTCCTGCGCCGGACTTGCCGCACACGCTGTTTTGAGAAGTGAAGTTGTCGATGCGTCAGGATTCCGGGCTTTCGAAGTTTCTTTGCGGCAGATCTTTTTGCCTGGCCACCCGAAATTAAACTTAAACCCTACATGCCGAGGCCACCCACGTGAAGGGAGACACAGCGACGGGACTCGGCCGAGGCCACCCACGTGCAGGGAGACACAGGGGAGACAAAGCAGCACGTGGACCCGAGGGAGACAAGCGAAGCAGGTCGGGGACCGAGGCAAGGCCAGGCCACCCACGTGGGGATCCATGCAGGGCTTGGGGCTTCAGGGTCCAGGAGATTACCTAGGTGCAATCTGCAAACGCCCACTGGGTTACGGTAACATAATGGCAGCATGATTTAACTATGATGTTGGTTGGGGTGGTCCTCTTCCGCATACCAATCGGAAACGCTCCGCCTGCATTTTTCGGCAGATAGCCCCGATGGTGCCTCCTTGGCTGGGCAGTTCACTGGCTGTAAAGCTGCAAGGGATTATGTCTTATGCCTTATGCTGAACCTGAGCATGCCTTGTTTGGACAAAGGTCTAAGTCTAAGACACAAAACGCTCGGCACCCTTGCAAACGAAACTTTTTAAAGCCACTTTAAATCGTGAAGCTTTTTGAAATCTCCTGCCAATCACTTAAGCATCCACACCTCCCCATATACTGATCTCCCATTTCACGCTGCGCAATCATGGGGGTATTGTGCGTCGACAGCTGCACATACCCAGTGAACACCATCTTCATCTGCAATCTGTCTTGGCTGCGAGACGCTTTTCCGATCCCAGTGGCTGCACATGCCAGACCTATTACTAGGGGGCCAGGACAAATACAAGAACGCACCATCGTGTGTGTTTCCTGATATATCACTGCACAAGATGTGCAAAACATGCCCAAAAAAAAGCAGAAAACACAGAGGGCCAGAGTGCCAAGCATCCATTTGGACGCTGTCGGCTTCCTGAAGGAAAAGGCAGCGCCAAGGCGGCAACAGCAAAGCGGCTTAACTCTAGCCATGCCGAGATCATGTCCGCGCCGCATGGCACAAGTATGCGCCGGTCATGTAGAAGGCTGCATTCCCACCCAAGCGACACGGACCCCCACCCAAAGAATCTTGCCCAAAACCCTATTTGAACCCAGCCCTAAACTTTAAACCCTAAACCTTAAACCCCAAACCCTAAACCTCAAACCCTAAACCCTAACTTTCAGGTCCCAAGATGACGCAGCCCTCCCGCCTCGACATGCAACGATGTATCGCTGGGAGCGTCGTCATCGCTATCGCCTGGCCAGAAGTTGGCCGCCAAAGAGTGTCACATGGACATACATTTTGAGCTTTCCGAAGTTACCTTATTGGGTTCCGCCCTCCTCCAAAGCATCGTCTTGTTCAACAGTGTAATGTGTGACTGAAAGCAGCTTCAATGCCCGCATTCGGCTCCAAATGGCTGAATGCTAGTCTGGAAGGAGCCTAGGTTCCCCTTGTACTTACATGATCCATGCTCCCTTCATAGCTTTCTTGTTTTCAGGCCTGTAACCCTTCCAGACAGTCTAGTGGCTAATTCACAGATCATGCGCTCACCCCAAAGCCTCCATTTAGTTCTTTTGATTGGGCTTTGTTCACTTGTATCTGTTGAGGCTAGCTGAAAGAAGATAATCGCGCTAAAGGGGCGCATAAGAAGCGAATACACAAAGCGCCCCGTGAAAAGCCCCCACGATTTCATATTATTTCTATTATTTCATGCAATTCTTACACATGATTTAAGCGAGGTCTTTTCGTATGCTTCAAAGGCCACTAATGACAGTACTACTTCGTAGTATTTCAGCTAAGTTCCACCATGCCTGGGTTTTGTACAGAATCTCGAAGTCGAAGAAACTAGTCGGGTCCCGAATACTTTGGCAGTGGCATGGTAGTAGGGTACGAGCACAAGTTATCCCATGTCTGGCAGTGCGACAAAGCCACAATCTTTCTCTTCTGCGCTGAAGCTTCTACGCCGAGAAGATCGCAACCTCGTGATGACGATGTGGTGGCTCGTGTGGGGCAAGTCTGGAACTTAGGGTTTAGGGTTTAGGGTTTAGGGTTCCCACTCGCCACCTTGTCCACTACTTTCGGGTCCCAGGTGCGGATTCACGACGAACTTGAAGCTCAATGGACGCGTCTTCATCGACTCAAGGAACTGCTGCCGTGTCATCTCGCCTGATTGCAGCTTTCTGAACTGACATCTTCAATCCGCGGCCTAAGCGTACCCAATCTGGCTTGGAAAATGCCTCTAGATGTTTTTGGCGCATGCCAGGTGCTCGCAACTTTGCGACCTACTTCTCATGGCAACAAACACACCCGACTCGCTGCACCAGCATCAGGCCCGATCTTCCGCTAGAAGATGCTAGAAGCAGCAACTTATCCCCAACTCCTGCACACCGACATGAAGTACCAAGCAATGTGAGCGCAATGTGGACAGCCACAGCATTCTTGCCCGTCTCGGCTTCAAAGTAAAGTGGCAAGTCGGCACGTCATTCCTGGGCTCGATGCGAACAGCCGATCAACTTTTGCAGCAACCACCTAGAAAATGCCACTTTAACGGCTTCATGCCCAAATCAAGCACAAATCATGCAACAAGTTGCGAAAGATCCTCGCTACAGTCGCCCCAACTTTGGCCTGGCATATTCCTAAGTTGCTTGCAGCAGAGTATCAACTGTATGAGAACATCTCCTGCACGCAGCTCCTGGCCAGTACAAAAATCAAGTCTGAAAGTCAAACCATTGAACACATGAGGTCGTGCTGTCCAATAGCCTGCGGATTAACAATTAACTCGGCTGCTCATCGGCAGAATGCAAGGTGGCTCTGTAACCTAACGGGTTCGATGACGATCTACTATGGAGTGACCATGTGAGGGTGCAGCTCTTTCGACCCATACACAGCAGTTCTCAAAAGGTCTGGCGGTGAAACCAGTATATGCCACCCTTTCAACTGCCAATGCCCACATGTGGGGTTCCTGTATCAGGGGGAGCCCTGCTGCGCCCAGATATGTCCTGTGCCGCTGCCCAGGTTTGTGGCTCCACGCGCTTCACGACCACCGGCTGCGGGGGCAGCGACGGCACGCAGAAGCCCAACTGTGCGAAAGGACCATGCTTTGGAACACCTTTGATGTTGCGCCTATAAGCATCAACAGTCTTGTCAACATAATTATTGGATCATCCATGTTCGTGCTGCTACGCTACAATGTTGCGTGTGACTTTGATTCACGATTCTTGCTCGGTGAGATCTGTACTCAGCGCCTTGTCCACATCTGTGCCTGCCGAGAGCTCGCGCACCTTAATGCAAGTTCGTCTCCAAAGAGCACAACACAGGTGTCACAGGAGCACCACAAAACGCAACGACAAAATGCCTGAAAGTTGGTGCTATCGCATCTCACACATGAAAGTCAAGGCTGTCTCTTTCGGCATGTTCCCCCCTAAAACTCGGGGCGCTGTAATTGTACCGTGGCGACGCGACGTTGTGGACGACGCCCACCATGAGCTCAGCCCAGACATTTACCATGTAGGGTCTGTGCTGAAGATGTCAGGTGCATGTGCTTTCGCTAACTGTGCTAAGATTGAGTACACCTACAGTGTGAGGCAAGACTGACGTTCGTCAGAACACGTAAAGCATGTAAGGCTGGGATTGCCCGACTTTGCGACATCGTCACAGTTCTTTGGCTTGCGGCTTCGCCACTCAGAGCCACTCAGTAAGTCTTCCAATTTGAAATGAGCGGCTTCAACCTGTAGTATAGAACACCCCCCTGTCGGGGTGCAACGAATTAGCATGAAACGACGCACTTCGTTGAATGTGTTGCAAGGACGGCAACGTGAGGGAGAGAGCATCTGGGGGCTCTGCCTCCGAAAAGGATGTTGGAGTATAGCTACCCTACAATTACTCACTGCGCACCATCAGCAGCTCAGGAACTGCCCAACACATGTTGATGAGCCTTAGAAGCCTTGGCTCTTGCCACAGCTCCCGGCGTTCCGCAGAGACTGGGGATTGGGGGCTCCAGTTGCGGCTGGAAACGCCGTGGGCGCTCTGCAACGCTTTGGGGGGGGGGGGGAGGGGGCATGCAAACCAGGGCATTACCCACAAGCGTGTTTCCGCCCACCGGGTCGTTGTAACGCAACGCAGCCCTTCGGCTTTTCGAACACCCTGCATCCACGCACTTGCGGCTTTACACCCCCATCTGCCCCATGCGTTGCAACTTTTCTGCTGTCGTCGCCTGTGCGAGGTTGTAAGTTTTTCTAAGGTCTTTGAGAAGAGATGTATAGAATCGCCAGACTACACGCCGGACCTGTCCAGGAGGCCTTGGATCGGCTGGTCCTTGGATAGAAGGGAATATGGATCCAGAAAAAAATTTGGCAAGGGTGGCCCCCCAGGACTTCAAACTCTGTAAAACTGACGCTCCGACCGCATACCAGCCGTTCAAGCCACCGTTGCTCGGCCATGGGACTCTACACATAGACTAGCCTGAAGATGTCCCAATATGTCCCACGCCTTTGATTGTCCTGTCTGAAGCCTTGAACGACTCACGTTGCGGATCGTTGCGGTCATCATGCCTCCTTCGAGAGGCTCGGGTGAAACAACACTCTATGCCGACTTCCGCCACTGCCAAGCTGATCAAATCAAGACACTGTTTATCTTAGAATTGTCGCAACTCAGTTTGGCTTCTGCGATGTCGTGAGCTGGGGCGTGCATGGCTGTGTACGACACACACACATGCATCAAATGGAGCCAGGTGCCAGGCATTGTGAGTCGATCTCCCACTCCGAACAAGGGAATGAAACGTCGCGCCAACTTCGTCCGTCGCTGCTTGGCAGAGAGGCTTGCGCTTGGCGCAAAGAAGCATTTTTAGACGCTAGGAAGCCATGCCACAGGCGCCTGCTGCGCACATCGACGTGCGCACGGAATGCTGCATGTGGGTGCAGGCTGCGTTGACCATAGGACCGTTGATAATATTCGTCCTGGTGCCGAAAGGAAACCATCGTGCCCAGAACTTCTGAAAGGGCGTTGGTGGTCTTGTCTTCCCAGCTTTGCACAAGTGCACAAGATAATCGAATTGTTCAGATCGCGACGAGCCTGCTAATTTGCAGGGTCGGACAATTGAACGGAAACAAGACCCCGGACCAGAGTCCACAGACAAGTATCTAAGCATGGCAAGCTGCACCGTCAGGCATCCGGCATGATAACTGGCAAATGGGCCAACTTTAGGTTGGGAACAATTAAAAAGACCCCGTGATCTTGTGTTCTTCCTATGCGGGTGCAGCTCATTAAATGGGAGGTTTTGGCATTGCACGCCAGCAACCCTCGCTGGGTTCTAGCCGCAAGCATATGGCCTCCAGTTCGGTAGAAAAAGTTCCTATCCGCCCTCCGTCTCAGGGCTTCTCCATCTCAAACAGCTCCCAGTCGGCATCTCCTCCCTCAGAAGTTGCCTGGGCACACTTGGCTTCGCGTGCTTTGTGCTTCAGAACCGGCAAAAGTTGTGAGCCATGTGACGGTTTGGAGAGTGGTGCTCTCATCGGTGTCGGTGTCCTGGTGCATGCAGTGTGCATATGAGACCATTCCGCCCACTCCAACCGCTATCGCTTTGCGCCCCGTTGGGTTGGACATGGTGGGACTGCGCACAAAATTTCTCAGGCACCCAAGTCCCGTTTACAAGGCGTGGCTCTGTGGCATGTCTGGCTTATTGGCATTCGGGGAACAGCAGCTTGGTTGCATATCCCCCTGGACCTCCAGAATCTCTGCGGAGCGGGCTAGATGCTACTGGAACGCGTGTGCGCATACAGCAAAACGAGATCTCGATAACAAACATTAACGAACTGAAAATCTATATAATGAATACTGTTGTCTCCTCTCTTTTCCCGGTGACGAGGAAATCGCGCATCGCTTCATGAGACATCTCGAACAAGACCGCCGAGCGACACCTGGATACACAGGAAGTTACCTCAATGCGACAATGGGTATCCTGGCCCGATGATGCATGTCTGTTGCCGGGCACGGCCTACTGTAGTCAACCCTGTTGCAGCCCAGCAGCGTGTAGTAGCCTGGGAAAGTGCTTCGCAACTTTCAAAACCATCGAGCAATTGCAGGCAGCAGTGGCAGAGCGCAGCGTCTCAGGTCGACGGCTAGGCTCTCAAGCTGCCTTCTACTTCGCCAACTCCCAGATTGTTGACAAGACCTTTAAGTACACCCACACGCACCCACAACGGCATCTGAAATTAGCAGAATTGTCTGTAGTTCTGCGCTGGCCGACATCGGCCTACATACGCCCCCACATCGTTTGGGCTTGGGGCCCCGTCACCCAGCGAACCCGCCCTGCAGGGACCTATGCTGCGATGCTACACAGGCACAAAAGAAGGTTGGACTGGGCCGTTGGTAAGCTAGTGCCCTTCGAGTGTGCAGCTCGAGCTGATACCTCCAATTCTTCTTCCACATGGCGTTTTACGAAAATAAGGGGGCCAGCCAATCTAGAATCCAGACCCCCAATAGTAGGATTCACTTGTAATAAGGACCCCCAATAAGGTACCCCCCCTATATTCGGAAACCCCCCCACATGACGGAGCACCACGCAATGAAACCGCAAGTTGCCCTGAGTTGGCAGCTGTAAGGGATCAGGGCCACATGGAAAAGAGGATGGCTGCGAGGTCCCAGTGGAGCCCACCTGAAGTTGCTGCTGCATGTGGCCAAACCAATGAACACGTGGCTATTTGGGGGGTCGGGCCTTTTCCCAGCCCCGAAAGATCGACGCATGCCAATGGTGTTTTGACATGCTTTGTGTGTTCCTGTTTCGGCGGGCTCCTAGCACGGGCAAGCGGGGAACGTGTCACAGTCGCACCGCTTCCTGAGAAACTGGCGAACCTAAATCGTTGATGATGACCCGTAGAAAACTGCCAATTGTGTGAAAATGCGCGGAAAAACTGTGCCTCGAACCGTGGATGGTGGGCGGTGGGAGGTGGGTGGTGGGTGGGCGGTGGGTAAGGGGGTGTCGTTGCTGTCGGTGGTGGTGGCTGCTGCTGCTGGGTGGGTGTCACTGTTGCCGCTGCGGCTGTGGGTGTTGGCTCTGGCGGCTATGGAGCAAGAAAGAGGGCTGACGTCTTTGCACCGCAAGCACCCTCAAGGGAGATTTGCTGAGACTTCTGTGGTTGGGTGATTTGGGTCCCTGACACGCAGCGAGCCACTACCAGTAGTACACAAATGCAGCACAGGAGCACTGCCATCAGGAAGCCAAAGACGAAACACATGCAAATCGGAGGGATGCCTTGTGTGAGAGACAAAGAAGCATTCTTCAGCATGTTTGAGCAATACACGTGGGGAACAGCGCAGAGGGCCTACTCATACTGCCCGAAAAGTGTTTGCACATGTTTGCACGATGTCTGGGAATATTTGTACTTCTGTTCACAGCTATATCGACTCGTTGCAAGCCGCTGCGACGACTTCAAGGCGATCAAAGACAAGGCTCTGAAGTCGAAGCTCTGACGGTTCCAAACCATGGGGCTCAGGTACAGAAGCACAATGCCTGCAGGATGCAGTGGTGATACGCGACTGTGCGACTAAGGGCTGCAGACCCTGAGGTTGACCTTACCTGACAACATGATACAACTGGCAAGTTGTGCTCTGCGAAGGCTGGCCCTGACTGTGCCCCAGCTATCCCCAGCTCGTTAGCAGACTAGTCACAAGTCTGCATGATGCTACCTTCAAGAATCATCAGAAATCTGCACCCCAGACACCTGAAAGGGTCTGTGTTCTCCACGCCACATGCTGATGAAGGTCCTCGCCAGTGTTTGGCAGGGCCCTTCAGCAACATTAAAACGATGCCAATGCTTCGGAAAAAGTGGGTGCAGCTGCGTCGAATGAGTTGCACCTCCGGGCCCGCGAACATCAGCAGAACGAAGCCTGGCACAACGAACTGGAACGTGTGCGCAGCGAAGTACTTGAAAAAGACAGGTCTCACACCTGCTGCGGCAAACTTCAATGCTCCCGACAACCCAGGCTCCAAACCCTAAACCCTAAACCCTAAACCCTAAACCCTAAACCCTAAACCCTAAACCCTAAACCCTAAAAGCCCAGGTACATAGGCAAATCGAGGCCACGAGTGTTGTGAAGAGATTGGACCGCGACAATGCCCACGCAGCCAAAACAGAAGCTATAGAGATGCCTGAGGTCACATGGGGGTCTCCGAAAATAGGGGTCCTTTTTGGGGCCCCTTTAAGGGGATCCTATTCATTCCTATTCTATTTGGGGGTATAAATGGGGTACCCCTATTTTTGGGAAATGCCCACATGCATATCGCATTCAGGGAGTCATGCATTCGGCACGAACAGAATGCATTTACATGGCTTCGAAAAAATACCACATGAATGGAATGGTGGTAAGAGGCACCTCCCCCTGATGCGAAACCCGTCTTAACAGTAAACACTTATGAACCAGGCCCCCTCCGAAACCCCACTTAGTACCAGAACAGTTTCGTTTGAGATTGAAGGAGGGGAATCACCACAGACTTTTTGGGCTGGAAATGGGTAAACCATGGTAAACCCCTAGCCGGCAGGTGTGCAGGAGCCCGTGCATCAGGACCAGGCCACATCCCGCCCCGTTAACAGTACTAGTGGCAAGCTGGACATAGCCGAAGCATTTCTCAGACGTTGAGACGGAGCTGCATGCTTGGTCCAGCCGCTCGAGCTTTGGCAAGTACTCGCCGTTGAAAGCCTCAGGTCAGCAGTCATCAGTAGAAGGGGAACTTGCACAAAACTGACACGTGCGAAAGGCACAAGCCCGCGCTTTGGCCCGAAGTGCCGCTAAGGCGCGCAATAGAGATGGCTAGCAGTGCTTGCTGGAATCATCAGGAACCATCCTCGGTCAATGTGGGGAAGATAGGGGGAGATGCTGCTGGCCATTTGGGAGCTGTGTTTGCTGTGCTGCAGCCGTCATAGGGACATCTTTGAAGCCATTGAAAATTGTTAAGTTTGAGCCCTATACGTCTGAACCCCCTAACCTCAAAACCGAAGGACAGGCAAACCCTTTTCTCAAACCTGAAGCCCGACAACTCTTGAGGATTTCGATTTAAACTGGGACGTGACAATCCGAGGTGTGGGATTTACATTCTGCCGGTCGTCTCGTTACATCGCGGCTTGGGGCGAAATTCGCATCGGCCCCAGCCCAGTGCACATCAGAGGTTCTCACATGGACGCCTTGTTTCCCCATCGCACCCACTGATTTTGGAGGTTTGAGACGTTTTAGAGTGGAGAGTCTTAGCACGAAAGCCCTGTCCCACCGACCCGTGTAGGCACCCGCCTGCAGGAATGGAAGGTTCTCTTGCGCGCACCCGGAGTGACCAAAAGAGCGGGGCAAGGAACGCCAAACTTTAAAGGCCCCGACCCACATGCTGCCGGCGCATAGTAGGTCAGGCCAAAACACATCAAAACACCCAATTGCCAGGACGTGTTGTTTCGATTCACTCCCGGAGTTTGAGAGATTCGAGTTTTTGGACTTAGGCTTCGCGAGCCTTTGGGTTGCCGTTTGTTTCGTCCCTGCAAGGCGGGGGCCGGGAAGAGGGGGAAGGGGAGGAGAGGGAAGCAGGGGGCCATCCAGCGTGCCAGATGCGGCATGTTTGGGACTAGGAAGCAGTTTGCTTTCGCTGCGATGGGCTGCAGTTGCATGCCCAGCTATCTGCGGCCTTTGCCGGAATGAACTCTATGAAGGCGAGCTGCACAACGCATGCTTCATATGTTCACACAATCGCGAGACTGTAAGGACCGAAGGCTATGGGTGACTGTCAAGTTGCCTGCGAGCATGGCGATAGCTGCAGGTGATCTCCACCATGCCTCGGCTAATGTTGCACCGGTTTAGTGAAAAGGGCACTATTATGCGTTTTTCCGGAAATCTTTTCGGGGACCCCCCCTTTGATGAGGGTGGTCCTCAATTATGCGATGTTGCCGGGCCGGGGTTGAAGGGCGGGGAGCCGGGGAGCCAAAACCTAAAAAAAGTTTTGGATGGGAGGCTCCGGATTTTTTGGTGTCCAGCCTTCTTTAAATTCCTTTAAGATTTCATTACGAAACAGGCCCCCAAACAATTTTCCAAGGGAGTAGCCCACGAGCTGCCCTGATTCGCTTTTAGTAACTGTTTCGGTTACACGCATTAATCCGCAGCCCCCCTGGCCAGGGAGCTACAAAGCCTGGAAAACTTCAAGGCTTCCCCTCAACCCTCGACCCCTAGCCGCCCTACCCCCAGCCCCCGTCCCAGATCCCAGCCCACTATTCAGGATCTCCGACAACCCCAAAACTGTTTGGGGGGCGGGGGGGGGTTGGGGCCCTGCGCACTAAAGCGAGTCCAACATTACCCAAAAGCCATGAGACAACCCCACTCGCTGAACTATTTAATAACCATTGATGTGCCATTGAGCAACCTTGTGTCCCACAGACCAGCACGCTGCAACGCAGCTAAACACTGGAGGAAGCATGGTCGCCGCATTCATGATTTCGACCTGCAATGGCTTTTGCCGAAGATCCCTGGACCTCGCTTACATATGGGTTTGTATTTTAATGGGGAGGCGCGTGACACGTGTTGGGGTCGGGGTATGTTTCGCGGGTCTGTTTCGGGGTCTGTTTCGGGGTATGTTTCGGGGGTATGTTTCGGGTATGTTTCGCGGCATCAGGAGCTACTTTACCTGCAATTTCGGGGGTATGTTACGGGGTATGTTTCGGGGGTATGTTTCGGGGTATGTTTCGCGGGCTGTTCGCGGGTGTGCAACCCGTGTGCCATTCTTAAACCTGAGCCCCCCAAAAAAACACAAACCCATATCGTATCAGGTACGATATGCCCCGTTAGGAACTGGGATCATGAGAATGCCCGCAGTCCACTCGGACACCTGCTCCTGGCGAACGTCAGAGTGATGAGGATCCCAATGGAAGGTTACTGTATTCTCACATATTGAGATGACAACAATGCCCCTGCCCGCAGCCTGGCATACCTCGCCACACTCCATGGGCAGGGCGGTCTGGGCGGCCTGCAACAGAAGTGTGTTTGAAACATCCTTCTAGGGCCATCATGAGGCTTTCGCCCCATAGGGCATGCAAGGCGGATCCATTACGGATTGAGGGAAGCGCTTCTCTAGCAGACTCTAGCTGACTCCAACCCAATCACGTTAAGTTCAGAACCTGCGATTTTGTGCGGATGCGTGCAGCCAGTTCCGCAGAATGGCCTTCAGCACCAGGATGAGCCAGCACAAGAATCCCTACCAGGAGAGATTCTGGAAACGGCAATCGAGAATAAGGCTTTGGGGGACAATTGACCGCTTCATGTGAAAGCTGAAGAACATGCCAAGAGTTGCTTCATGTTGCTTCTTACACCCTCCTATCGTTCTACAAGTCGCTTTCGTGCCGTTGCCCAATGGGGAGCTGATGCTGCAGTAGAAGACGGTTCTTGTAGGTGTAGACATGTCTGCTTCTGCTTTTGGGACGAAAGAACATGTGGCTTTTATGGCAAGCTTTTTCCTTCCGCGATCCGCGCACCGCGGGCTGGAACCTCTTCGCGGAGCTCCCCCACTCCTTTCGGAGGCTGGGAAGCCGCTCGTTCAGTGAAGCTGGAACACCTTACTATCGGATATGCGCTGAGCTGTTTTGTATGGTGGCTAATTGATTATGCACGAAGGCACTTTGTCACCCAACGAGCGAGACCGCAGCTGCACGGTAAATGCCGCAGGTTCAGATCCTGTAGTGTGTCCCTGTCCGGAGTCTGCCATGTGAAGGAAGGCTTGGCGAATTTGTCCTGTTGCGGCACTTGATCTGTGACCTTCTTGCAGAGTTCAGCACGCATTTTGCAGGCAACGCCTGCACGCTCCTCCCACAGCAGCTGCTGAAAACAGTTTTAACTTTTAACGCAGTTGTAAGGCAAGTATACAACAAATATACACACTAAATGGCCGGCAAATCTGCGCCGGCCAGCGCATGCTGGGCAAGTTGAGCATGCGATGAGGTTTTGCACCCTCACGCGTGTTCCTGCCGGCAAAAGACATGCTGAACTTATTCGTGCTTCCGTGATCCCAACAGGATCACTTCCAATTCAGCTCGTCGCTCGAGTCAAGCAAAATCAAGCGAAGCATACAACAAAAGGCTTAGAAGAACAAAATGCGCACCCAAAAGTTTCCGCACACCCCAGACCTCACGCAAAGCTTGAAATGCCTTGAAGCCAAAGTTGCAGAACAATACTTGCCTCCCAGACCCTGTCTGCTTCTCCCTTTTCTGGAAGGCACAAATACCCCGACACATTAACATGGGTTGCTTCGCAGCGGACTTCCCAATATTGAACAACGCAGACGTATTTAAAGCCAATGGGGACTGTTGCAACTGGCACTTTGTGCTTGAAATTCAGCTACCAGGTTTGGCCATGTCGCAGCCCAGCGTGCCAGCGTGTGCCCTCATCCTGTTCTTGATTCCGGATTCCTGCTTGCCACAGGCATGGCCTCCACCCAAATATTGAACCCAGAAATAACAATAATCGTATTTAGACACTAGCATATATCATACTTGAAGTGGGCCGAGCACACCATGCGCGCAACAGACTGAACTGACTGCGAAAAACATAATTGTCATGTTGCCCTCTCAGTGCTGATGGATCCCTCCATGGCTAGTAGCCAATGCCGACCTGAGCAGCGAAGAGTATTCAACAAGGGACCCCAGTGGGGCCGGCATTTTAAAACTATGTAAGAGGAGCATAGGCAGAGGGGGAGTATCCTACCTTTAATCTTATATGAACTCGGAGAGGCATATGCGCAGAGGGGGAGGGGGCAAACAAAAACAAAATCGGTCATGCTACTGAGACAGATTTTTTTTGGGGGGCTCCGCCCCCCACTTCCCCGGTCCTCAGCAAATACTTACACTTTCAGAAAACACAACCTACATGTTCAACTAACAGCCATACACTTTGAGAAGAACAACCTACATTTCCAACCAAAACCATACACATTGAGAAAAAGAAACCTACATTTTCAGCCAACATCATACATCTTGAGAAATGACGCCACATGTTCAACTAAAAACCGTGAACTTTCATGACAGAAGCTCCATTTTCAACCAAACACCAGGCACGTTCGGATGCCTATATGCTCAACCATAAACCATACACATTGGGAAAGAAAAACAAACATTCTTGGCTTGTGAGAAAATCTACATGTTAAACCCAAAACCATACACTTGGACAACAAGAAACCTACTTTGTCAACCAACAGCCATACATTTTGAGAAAACACGCATGCACTTTGGGAAAAGAAAAGCATACACTTCCAGAAAAACTACATACACTTTCGCCCAAGCTGCATACACTTTTGGCAAAGGCGTATGCGTTTTTCAAGTGTTCACTTTTGCCCGAAGTGCATGCACTTGTTGCAGAAGCGCATGCCTTTTTCAAACATTTATACACTTTTGATCGAAAGTGCATGCACTGCATGCGCTTTCGGGCACAAGTATATACACTTTTGACAAAAAGCATTCGCTTTTGCCAAAAGTGAATGCAGCATGCACTTTAAGCGACAGTGCATGTGCTTTTGCTGGCCGTGTATGCTTTTTATCCCAAAGTGTATGCCTTTTTGGTTAAACGGTTGACAATTTAGGTTTCTTGTTGTCAAAGTGTATGGTTTTTGGTTAAAAAAAGGAGGACTTTTTCTCACAAGCCATGGTTGCTTTTGGTTGAAAATGCTCGTCTTCTTTCTCAAAGTTTATGGTTGAACGTATATTTTGTCTTTGTCCAAATATGAGTTTGTGGCTTTTAGTTGGAAAAGTTGTCCAAGTGTAAGGTTTTGGTTGAAAATGTTTGCATGGAAAATGCAGGCGTTTTCTTGCTAAAAGTCTATGGTCTTTGGTTGAAACTATAGGGTTGTTTCCCTGAAAGTGCATGGTTTTGGATGAAAATGTAAGATGTTTGCCTCAAAGTGTATGGTTTTGGCTGATTGTTTTCTCAAAGTGTATGGTTGTTGGTTAAACGTGTAGTGAGTGTAGTGTTCCTGAAAGTGCGAAGCTTTTAAAATTGGACGTGCAGGTCTTCTTTCTGAACGTGTATGGTTTTTGGCTGGCAACGGAGTTGTGTTCTCTCATAGGTTGAAAAGGTAGGCGTTTTTCTCAAATGTAGGGTTTTGGTTGCAGATGCTTTTATGTCTTAATTTGTATGGCTTTTGCTTGAACCAATTGTTTTGGTTGAAGATGTACTTTCTCAAAATCTATGTGTATGTGTCTCTGAGGTCGCTTGACTTCAAGAAGTTCGCTTGCCTCTTCGTTTATTTTTGATGTGTTGAATAAGCTAAAAATTAACAAAACCACAGCTGAGAGTATCGTAAATATGCAGGCCCCAGTGGGTCCCACCCGCAATTTAGAGAAGTGACCATATTATCACCTGTGAGACTGAGTAGGAAATTACCGTAACCCTAAACCCTAAACCCCAAACCCTAAACCTTAACCCTTCTAAGCCAAGCAGCCCTCAAAGCTTCAAGCGGCAGCGCTCCGTAAAAATGCAGGCCCAGAGCCGCCTTCGGAACAGAGATGCCCCACTGCACTCTCGAATCATTACTCCTGTTGAGCCTGCTGATGGCCTTAGAATCCCCGTCATCAAAACCGTGCGCATACTTACTGCCTTGCGTTTTGGGATATCTTCACGTTGTGAAATCATCCTGCCCAGCCGGCACCTTCGGCAACTCATCCCGGTTGAATTGGAACCTGCCCACTGGACAACGCATGGTACAGATGAAATCTGTCAGCACCCTCGAGCCGGAAAGTTTGTGCGCGCCATCGTGCAAGCTCGGAGCACCCCGGAGCTTTTCCGTTTGGGTCACAAACCCCAAAACTGCTAGAACGGAACCGAACTCCAGGGCAATGCCTTCATCCTTTCTGTACGCAGGGCACTGAAGGAATGCCGAGGCGCCCCAGCGATTGCTGGATCGGTTGAAGTCTGTGGAATACTGCCTCATCTCGCGCAAGCACAGCCACTTGCTGAGTGTACAAAGTTGCTATTTCTTGCCGCAGTCTTCAAAAACGTGACAGGGTTCGCCTTGGAAGTGACAAGCTTGCAGCCACGACCACAGGATACCATGGTCTATTCCAAGCTTTTTTGGCAGCCCTCACTGCCATCGTGCAAGCCAAGTTGCCACCGTGCAGGGTCACATGTTCCTGCTGCATTCTGACATGCTGACGATGAAAAAGCTTGTGCCATGTTGTGTTCTTGGGAACAACACGTCCGTCACTATGTGTACGGTGTCTAGAATCTAGTCTGTTCCCCTGGCTTATCCTGGCTTTCACCGTCAGGCTGCCCACGCTACTGTAATGCAACGACAGCCAACTCATCGGCGGATAACCCCTGAACAATCAACTCTATTCATCAGCCCCTGACCCGCCATGCTCTCTGCACCCGTACTCCTGAAGGCTCGGCCACGACCCAACCCTCTGCCTGATCGGGGCAGATACTGTATGTGAGGTGTGCTTTAGCCAAACAGGGAGCTGGGCCCGTGCTGTGAGTGATCTGACTTTCTGGCTTTGCTAAGCACGTGCTGTGCCACAAGCCTCCCAACCCTCGGGCGCTTTGATCGGCGGCTTTTCCGAAGAGGCAAAAGTCGCAGGATCTGACAGGCTCCTGGTCAAAGGTTCCAGAGGGCTAGCCCACGCGGTTCTCAAAGTCATGCAAAGATCTCCCCTGCATGGACATCGGCGTCGGAGTGTGTGAATGTCACTGTCCATTGTCGGAAAAGGCGCCAAGGGTGGATGTTGAAGTCCAAATCTACCCACCGCAAGCGTTGCCGCAAAGCCTGACCATGGTAAGGGCAAGCAGAGTGTTGCAATTTAGCATGTGAAAAAAACGATTAAAGCAATCCAGAAAAAAAAACGCGACCAACGTGTTTCTGCACGTCCCATGACAACTATGCACGCGATTCTCGATCATGCCCCATTGCAAGGCCAGCAAAGTCGTACAGTGTGTTGAAACAATTTGAGAATCAACCGTTTGGCTGCATTTCCGATCCTTTTTTCACTATTTTGGAGCATTATCAAGCATTTTCGAGCACGTTTAACTCCTAAACCTTAAACCCTAAACCCGAAACCCTGTTGGGACTTAGTGCTCGATAGCAAAGAGTGCACGGGTAAGAAACCTTGAAACTAAAGACTGCTAGAGACGGCTGAGGCTTGGTGTCCGATAGCAAAGAGTGCTGGGCTGGGCATTTTCAGCATTTCCGAGCATTTCCGCCTATTTCCGAGCATTTCCGAGCATTTTAGTAGCATTTTCGAGCTTTTTCGAGCAATTTCGAGTAATTTCGAGCATTGTCCAACATTGTCGACCATTTCCGACCATTTGCGGGCATTGTCGGATATTTTCTTGCGTTTTCCAGCATTTTCGATCATTTTCGAGCATTTTCGCGCATTTTCGAGCATTTTCAACCACGTTCGAGAATTTTCAAGTATTTTCCAGCATACACACAACTTTCCATCTTTTGCATCTTCACAGGGTCAAGGAACGTCATGAGGAAGGAATGGAGCACGCCAGTCGGTCTGGAAAATTGTTGTCCTTGCATGTGCTTGATGAGCCGCAATTCTTGTACTTGGAACTCACAACATGGCTTCGTGTGCATGTGCTTCAGTGTTTCATCTCCCCAGGCGTCCTCCGTTGCAGCTCCCACATCTGTACCTTCACCAGTCGAGGTGAAATAAGGCGAGGCTGACGAACCTCACATTGAATCACTACCTGCACAAATACAAGCAACAATACTGAATTTGCACCTCGGTGTGGATGCGACATGCGATCAACGAGGCCAAGTCAACCAACCCAAGGATTTATGTAAATTCTTGTGGTTACTGTCATTGCTTGGCACCTGCCTCCATGCATGATCGTCCTCATTTGCCTTGCAGTTGAGCGTCGAAGCTGCATTCCCAGCGCCTCTTCCGGCAAAGTCCGATTGTGGACTTTGCCTGAGTTTGACGCTGAAGCAGAAGCGTTTCGAGCGACGCGCTGAGGCATCAGCAGTTGCTGCGAAGTTGCACCCCATTTCGAGGGAGTCTTGTGGAAGTCGGTCGAATATTGCCACCCGTCCTTCAAGCGCATTGCGTATTCAGCGTGGAAAAGAAGGCCAGCATCACAACGGCAAAATGTCATAACTTCCATGATAAACTCACACGAAAAAACCACATAGCACATCGGGCGCAACAAGTCTGGTGAGCCAATGTACGGTACTGAGACCAAGTTCCAAAATTAACTTCCGCAGTCTGCAGCCGCAGCAGCAGCCGCAGCAGCAGCGGCAGCATCAGCAGCAGCGGCACCGGGGGGAACGCTGTACAGTCAAACAGTGCCGTCAACATGAGTGAACCCGGAACCCTTCAACAAAAACAGTCCTTGTCGGCAGGACCGTCGGGAACAACGCTCCACTTGCCCTGTGCAAAGCAGGGGACCGCAAACGCATGACAGTGGGGGAAGGAAAGCGATAAGTATGTCGTACCCAAGAAGAAGCCTCGTGCAGGACTGCTGGCGAATGGGTTTTAGGAAGTACAAGTTTTACAAGTCTCATGGTTAGCGTTGTGGGTTTGAGGTGCAAATAGGCGCATACGGTAGAGGTTGACGATTGAATTTCGAGGGTTTGGGCGTGGTTTAAGCAGATTTTTCTAGTCATAATCAGACGGGGCTGACTGGCGATGCCACGTGCCCCATAACTTACAGCTTTTCGCGGGCCTTCCGTCACGCTTTCGCGTGTGATGGCACCCTTGCTCAGACCCATCTAAGCTATTGACGCAAGGGATTTCTTGGATTCTGACTGGCTCGGGCTGCGCCTTCTCCCTCATAGCTGGGGGCGGTTCTACTGGTGGATGTGCCGCCGCCTCAATGCCACACGCAAAGCGTTGATTGCAATGAATAAGCCCATCGCCCCCGAGGAATCGCTGGTGATGCCAAGGGCTGGGCGGCAGTGCTGCTGATTTTCGCGAGAAGCCATGGGTGCTTATGATACCTGACAACACGAATGCTCCCAGCCAGTCAGCAACAATGCATAATGAGAAACGCGCCTTTCGTCGACCCACCGTGCTTGCCTGGGTTGGTTGAAAGCTTGGGTTGGTTGAAAGCTCATGCGCGAACCAAGCAGAAACATGGAAAAACCAAGGTGAGAGTGCCTTACTAACCTCGTGATTGCTACTGGGCATTGCCCGCAAACCCCCAAATATATTTGTTGCTATGACAACGCCATGGTTGCCAGAGCCCTGCTTGACAAATGCAAAGTGGTGTCCAGTGGAGTGGTTACTTTTGTTTTACCACTCGAAACCCCCGTGGACGCTGCTCATTTCGGAAAATGACATGGACGCAACATCATGTCTTCAAGCACGACGTCGAGATCGAATCATAGATCGAATCCTACAAACCCCCATGGGACGCCGTGCACGTACACGTCTCCACAGCATTGATGTGTTTCAAAAAATCAAATCTCCATGCAAGCGCTGTCCCCAGACCTCTAGCAATAAAACCCTCGAACTCATGAAGCGCTGTACGCTGGCAACGTCTGGCAACGGATTTTGTTTTTAACATTTATCTAGCTCTTCTTCGCGGACTTCGGTTTCGGCACAAAACGCTTGGAGCGGCTCTCCCTCTTCTTTTTCCCTCCCTCCATTCAGAGAGCCAAGCCTCCATGCTTGCGTTGGACCGGACCGCCGGCCAGGCAGCGACGCCTCCGCGTGCGCCACGCGCTCGCTCAGATGGGGTTCTGTCCTCCAGCCGCCCTCAACGCGGACACGGGCCCCCAACGCGCCCCTGTAGCTGAGGAGCCCGCGTCCGAAGCTGAGACGGTCTCTGACACGTTCAGTGCCCAACGTGCACGCCGCACGCCGCCGTCGACGACGCAGCGCCCGCGAGCCACGTACACGTGTGTGACTCGTGCCGCCCAGGCCGTTCCCTCAGAGCGCGGCCGCGCCCACGCTCGCCCGACCGGTTCGTGCCCGGTGACGAAACCACGCGCGGCCGCACGCCCCCGCCGTCGCCCACGCCTATGCCAACTGCCGAGGTCCCCGCCCCGCTTCCATGGCATTCATGGCAAAACGCGTGCCCGCCGGGCACGGCGAACGCGCGTCTTGGCTGTATATGTCCCGTTCCTGCAAGCTGCAGCGGTTTCCCAAGTCGGGCACGGCCTGCCATGCGCGACATGCCGCATCCGTCAGGAACCCCGCTGGCCTACGATGGTCAACGCCCGCACACGCTCGCGCAGCCACTGTGTGCGGCCAGCGCGTGCGAAGGGCATGCAGGAGGGCGTGGATACCGTCGCCCCGAGTCGCGGCCGCCGTGGCCGCGGGCGGGGGCGATCGCGGCCGAGGGGGTGATGCATCCGCGGAGCGAGCGACCCCGCGGCACTCACTGCTTGCCTCCCGGAAATGTTTTTTTGCTGGCACCTCGCACGCTGCTTGCGACGAGAGCGGAGCACAGGGACGCGACCTACTACTGGCGAGGGCTTGGGCTTTTGAGCGAGGCCGCTACAGCGGGCGGCCCCAGTCCCATCCACTTTGCCTCCGGACGCCTTCCCCCCAAGGAACGCAGGTCCAGCCCACGACCCCAAAAAGTCCCAGCCATTTTTTTTTTCCGCGCACCTTTTTCTGCTTGCCGGAAGGTGTCCCTTCGCTACGGCCGCAGGGGCAGGCGACTATGGCCTTCAGGGGCAGCGTGGTGGATGACGCTGTCGAGCGGCGGGCCCTCGCCAGCCTCAGGTTGCAGCGGCTGCCGCCAGGCGCCTCCCACAGCCGTACTAGCAACTGCCTGCTGCACCGCGACTGAAAGCATGCTCCGCCAGCGCCCCGCCCAAGCCGCTGTCGCGGCCGCGCGCACGGGGAGGGGGGTGCGGTACGCTTTGAGACGCACCAGGTCTCGCACGAAGCCTCGGGCCTGGGCGTTCCAGCGGCCGCCCACCTCGGTGCCGAGCACGACGAGCGTTTGCGGTCCCCCTCGCGTGAGCTCTGGGTATGCGGCGTGATCACTACAAATAAAGCATGGATCCCTCCCCCCCCCGGTTAAGGCATTCTCGGTCGTATCTCTAATGCCTTGAAGAGCCCTGGACCCGGGTCCCCAAAACTCAACAAACTGCAGAAAACCATAGAAAACCACCACGACCATGGAGCAAAACTTAAACATAAATCTAAGCCCTCTGCCCATCTCTGCCCTAGACCCCTTCAACAGCGACATCGGCCCTGCTGCTGTCTAGAGAGTCAGTCTCCTATCTGTGAAGGTGCTTTCTTTGACTCAAAGCATTTTGACAAAGAAGCTAAGCTCAGAATCTCACATGCTGCCTCAATCCGCCTCATGGCTCCAATTTCCGCAAGGCCTCCTAAGGAAACCCATGAGTTTTCTACAAGGATTGCCGTGTCTGGTTTTGACAGGGAGATGTCCCACACAGCAGTATTGCCTTCCCGACCCCTGCACCACAGCGCAGGGGTCGGTAAGGCAATACCTCTTGGGAGCCGAGCTTGGACCGCCTCAGACCCTGACCCTGAAAATCCCTGAAATATCCCTGAATATCCCGATGAGCATTACCAATCAGTACCAACCAGGCACTAGAGAATGCCTTCCGGACCCTTGGACGAGAGCGCAGGGGTCTGTAAGGCAATACTTCCGGGCACGCAAACCCTGGCGGTCGAAGACGTCTCAAGAGATATGTCGGCCTCGAGCATCGGACCCTATTGTATACTACTGCGATGGTGCACTCAATTATTTCACACACGCACACAAAACCAACTGAAAGGGGCGAGTCTCTCAACAGATGTCATCAGATGTCTCGCATTCTCTCAAGCTTTGCACCACCGATTATATAGTATTATACAGAATTGTATCGTTTGGTCTCATGGCATGTTTCTGTTATCCTTTTTCTTTGTCCTCTGATATCCAAGCTTCTTATCTTTGTTTGGTTCGGGGGGGTGGCTAAGGCATTAGGGGGGTGGCTAAGGCATTTTCCGGGTGGTAAGGCATTTGTATTGCCTTAGCCTACCCCCCGTAGAGCCCCCTCGAAAAGGCATTATCTGGGAGTAGTGATGCGGCGTGCTTGCGGCGCTCAGCCACCCGCAGCACGGCTCCATCCACGGCCGCTGCGCATGGCTGCGGGTGCCCCGATCGCGTGAGCGGGGAAACGAGCGTGGCGTCGCAGCATTGCGCTCCCCCACATTCCCCCACTGCGCAGCGCCCCGTATAAACGACGAGGTCGAGTCTGCGACGGTCCTGCGCTCCGACCTGCGGGGCGGTGGTGTTGGCCAGCCACTGCTGCGGAACGACTTGGCCTTCCGACCCCACCGCTTCCCGGGCAACCTGCGCCCAGGCTCGCTCCACGATCTTGGCCCGCCGGGCGAGGAGTCCAGTGCGCGGGCACGCAAGCGCGTGGTCGCCGAAGCAGTCTACTGCGCCACGGCAGCCATGGGGCGGCCCGCAAGTGTTGCTTTGCTGTGCAGAGGCAGAGGTTGTCGCAGGCGGAAGCGATCTGCATCGCCAAAATTTTCCCCCAAGTAAACGCAACACGAAATGTACACATGTTATCCACCATGAACTGGAAGAAGCCTTTGCCCGAGGGAACGCAAGTCCCAGCCACACCTTTCATGCGGGTTGTTGCAGCAGCGAAACGATGCATCTACGACATCATACCTTTTTTTGCAGTCTTCGACATGCGCGAAAAACCATGTCAAACACCATCTAAACGCAGCGAAACGCCGCATCCACATGCACGAACATTCATGTAAACACGACCTAAACGCAGTGAAAAGCTGCATGTTTGACATCCTCACTCCCACAAATCGCACCTCGTTGATCGAGCCGCCCACACCCGACAATCGCGCGAGCGTTGATGCCCACAACCAAGATTTTACAGCTTCCAAAAGCAGCGAATGATCTCGAAGGAACGCTTAGCCAAAGTACGCCTCTGCACATGATGAGGTTACATCCGTGGTCGTGTCCCCCAAATAAATGCAAGTGGCGGCGAGTTTTACATCTTCTTCTCCCCAATGACTGCAACGATCCAAACGGACTGGCGGCGACTAGGGCCGTTGGGAGTATGGGCCGCACAGCAGCAACACAGTTCACGCACGGGCACAGCCGGATGAGGATGGTGGAGCAAAGCGCCGCCGGGCCCAGGCTTGCACGCGAGTCCGTGTGGGGGAGCTGTCTCGTGCCCGGCACATGTTGATGGCCGCGCGCTCCGGGGCTCCGGGAGACGATGCCGCGTGGCGCGCATGGACCGATCCGGCCAAACGCTCCGCAGCTCCGCAAGCCCATTCCCGCCCAGCTGTGGACGCAAACGTCCATTCACAAGGTCCGCTCGAACTCCTGGCGTACGCGGCCACCCAGCTCGGCAATGCCCAGATTCCGCCGCTATAGTCCCCGGCCTGGCATTGGCGCGTCTGTCCGCGCTTCAAAAGCCCGGAGGCGGGACGCGCAGGATCGCAACGGGCGACGTGTCCCCGGCTTGTTTCGCGCGTGCTGGCCCAGCCAAGCTACACGCTCATGCCAGTTCGCGCTGAAGGCTCGGGCCGGCAATGCCGGTACTGACACCTTGGCGGCTCATGCGCGCGCGCGCAATTTTCAAATATGGAATATGAAAATTGTTGTTTTTTTTGGGCCGTTTTGTTTTTGCACTCCGCACCTTTTTACGCGGTACTTGTGCAGGTCGCCCAAGTCTTATAGGGAAGGAGCTTGGTCGGTCAGGGCGTGCGGGTGGCAAGATCGTGGAGCGGCGGCCGGGGACTCGGCGAGGAGGTCGCCGAGGAGAGGTGTGTTTTTGTTAACGCACCTGTTTTACATCCTTTTCGTGCGCCCCACAAACACTCTTGTCTTCTTTCAACTCATATCAACCGATACAACTGAGTGAAATCAACGCGTGATTTCCGGGTATTTCCGGCGATGGGCGGCCCTCCTGGCCTTCGCCGCAGCCCAGGCCTTCGCAGCGACGCTGCTCAGTCTCCCGCTGCATGGTGCGGCAAACGTTGAAGCACTCTGCAGAGAGTTAACAAGAACAACCATGCTGTGGCAATCTCAACTCTTTCTTGCATGAACTCGTAACGCGCCTATTACACCCTTCAAGCCTTGAACCATGCAGACACCAACATCCTGTACCTTGGCGACTGTGCCCAGTGGCCTCCATTTCCTTCTTTTGAAAGCAATAAAGTTAGAAACGTTTGTTGTTTTGGTGTAGCTTCTTGGGCTTAGGACCGAGCCCGACCTCATGAGCAGATTTGCGACCTTGAAGATCAAGGCTTTCGAAATTGGTTCGATTTCTTGCTTCGGGCATATAACTTCGGGATGTGGAACTGACAGCACCTTACCTTTGGGGTTTCCATTCTACCTAGTGGCGAGCTCGTTTGGGCTGTTGTTGGGGAATGTTGCACACCCGGAACTTTGCCCCTAAAGATGAGGGGTGTTGCGGTGAATGAGATTTCTGCCTGGTGGTGCACGCGGGTTCTAACCAATCTTGGAATTCGCGAATCCCAGTGTGCACGCCCGAGATACGACTTCACACAAGAAGATGCGATTTAACCTGCCCTAACCGATGGCTGGGACGCGAGCCCCCGCTGGACGTCCAGATGCGGTGACGGACACAGGACTGGGCGATTGACACACGTCGCGCGCGCACCTCGTATTGGCGTGCTCTGCCATCGTTGACGCCGAGACCTGCTCCGTTCTCACTCGGGCCTGCACACCGGCGCGTGGCTGACGGCCATACCCAGCGAGCCGGCTACGACTTTGTCGCCGCCCGCCTGCGCCTGCGCCCTCCCCTGCGGCTGGATGTGGTGGGACAGTAGGTGCATGGTGACCACGCCTTGTCCCCACTCCGCGGAAGTGCCGCGGACGCTCCACCGATCTTAGGGCCTCTGCGGCCAGCTCAAGCGCCACCTCCAAGTTTCAGAAGCCTTTTGTCGAGCCCGCTCGCTCTGCATCGCCCGACGCGCCCGACGCGTGCTCGAGTTCCTTCTGACCGACCCTACTCGCGGAAGCAAGTTTTTTCCAAACTGCGCGAAAGCAGTCCATGGAAGCAAACGCAGCGGACGAGCAGAACGGAAGGACCGCGAAAGGGTTCCGCGGAAGGGTTCCTCATTTCATAGACAATCTTGTAGGAAAAAATAACCACGGTTCTCTTGGCGGTATGGTCAAGCAAACGATCCTGATTGCGCACGATTGCGTGTTCTAGCCCAGCCTTTTATAGGGGGACCCTAAACACTTCCGCGGCCACAGGCCCGTGCACTTTCGCGCCCCGGTTCCCGGAGTAATGTCTGCAGTATTTTCAAGAACCGAACAAAAAACCGCTCAATTTGACGACCGACGATGTCAAGTTTTTGTTTTTTTTATACTTTCCGCGCCTTGTTGCGTCCGCCGCAGTCACGTCACGTTCGGTCCACACAAACTGGCGCGCTCGAACGAAGTTGGCAGCCTCTGAGTCCGAGCCCCTTCCTTATTCGAACCCGAAAACGACGAGTCGACAGCACCTGCTGTGATCAAGTGCGTGATCATAAGGTTGCCGCCGGTTGCGGCGGGCGGTGTTGCCAAGGGCGCTACCAGGGGTAGCAGCACCGGCACGTCACATCACAGGGCTGACAAGGGTTGCTGCGCCATAAGTCAGTCCGTTGCACACGATGTCGATGTGCCGTGCGTCGTAAACAGCCACATCGAGGTTCATGGCCGACAAGGCGACGTTGCGCCCCACACGCGCGGGGACGCGGGAGTTGGAGCAGGCGGCTCGGTGATTTCCATGCTCATCGAGGAATCGAGGAGGCCGCGGCCGGAGCACTCGCCGGAAGAGCAGGACGTAGAACAGGACGGCAACCATGTCCGACGTGGGCAGCACCGTGACGATTCTAGCATACTCTGGCTGCGTGTGGTCCAGCTTGTGTCAGGTGAAAGATCAGCAAAGGTGCGTTTCGAACGCGCTCATCGCAAGCACTTGGGCCTGGGCTGGCTCGTTGTTACGGTAGGACGGGTCCGACGGGGCAGAGCAAGCATGATGCCAAGCATAGCGGTGTCCATCGAGGTACGCTGCGGCTTGTGTGGCGGCGAGTATAGACATGCTGTACATGAGGTTTTTTGTATTGGAGGCTGACTTGGCGTCATTGGCCTAGCATTTAATGCAACGAAAACTCGCATTTTCACAACAGCCACTTCGCCAGAGGCTGCTTACATTGACGTTGGTGGTGTTATGAGATTGATGGTGTCCGAAAGGAAAAAGTAAAGGTTAACCGCTCTCTGAATCTAGAGTCCTTTGTCAGCTCATTCCAGTCCACCAATCATCCGTTCGTTCTGTTCATGCGTTTCATGCGTCGTTCACATGTTCACTCCTTGTAACGTACCTGCTGATGCCTCACCGTCGCTGTCAGCTCTGAGGGGTCGGCCTGCGCTCTCACTTGCGGTTTCCAGGTGGCCCCTCCCCCGACAACCAGCCTGCAGATATCTGACCAGGCGCTGCAAGCGATGCAGGCAAACAAGGAGCTCTCATACCTGCTAAGGGGACTTCAGCCTCATTCCAAATGACCGTCTTGGCAGGGTGCATGCGCGCACGCAGGTGCTGCCGCAGGAGGTGGGCGCGCAACTCAGCCGGAGGGAGCGCAAGGCACGCCAAGAGCGAGGGGCTTGCCACCCTCAGCCTCTGCATGATGGCATGGGCAGAGGCACCTGCGGACCAACCGAAGGTAAGGTAGATGGCTGCGTACCACGGTTGCGCAAATGGCAGGATGGCCATCCGGAACGATATGACTTCGGGCACACTCCCAGCGACGTTGAAGGCACCTGACCTTCGAAGGGAACGCTGCATGTGGACTCTTTCGAAACATTTCGAAACGTCTCCATGCCCTGCGGAGCCAAGGCAGCGCAACGTCCATGCCCGAGTATATTGCGGTCCGTGCCAAAAGCCTAAATACCGGCCACGCCGGCCAAGGCACGTGGCCTTGACCTCGCTTCTTCGGATCAGTTGATGAAAAGCTTGCCAGCGAGGCACGACCGAGGCAGTCATGCATTGGCAGCCTTGTGTGTTGCTTCTGTTCGCTTTACTAAGTCTCACCGAAATGGACGACCTAGGGGTCGTGAGTCGCGCTAGCCGCCTCAACGCAGATCTGTGTTCCTGCCCATTTCAAATTCGGCTTAAACTCAATTGAGCTCTTAACGCGGGTGATATTGCTGCCCGAACACTTCTGCCCATCGTGGGGAAGGAACGGAGCCCGCCAATCGTCGTGGAACATCGTCGTTCTCCTGGCCATGTTGAGATGTGCTGAACACTATCATCAACAAGCTCGTTCCACGCCTTGATGCGTTGCACTCTTGAAGCGTTCAAAAACCCACCGAATAAATACAAATTCTGCACACCGCAACGCAAGCAACGATGATATGGGGCTTCCGAAATTAGGCTACCTTTTTTGGGGTCCTTAAGGGTCAATTCTCGGGGTCCCCCATTTTCGTAAACTCCCATATATGGGATGACTTGAAGAACACGGCAGAGCCTCGCCTCTGCAGTTCCCAAACCTGCCAGAGAGGTGCAGTACCCGGTTAGTCCTTCTGCTAGAGTCTGCTAGAGTCTGCCTAATTTAGGGTTTTGGGTTGAGGGGATAGAGTGGCTCCAAGCAACTGCGCATGGATGTCATGGAGCAAGTAATTGCTTGACGCAGATGTCACTGATAGTGTTTATTGACATCTTGCAATATTATGGAACCTGAACTAAGAGCTTCGGACAGCGGCACAGCTGCAATCAGGTTTGAAAATTCTGGTTCGACTTCGGAAGCTTGAAACTTTCGCAGCCTCGAAGCATCAGAGGTTATAGGCACCAACCACGCAAGCCCGAAGTTTCTGAACATGGCCTCCTTGCTATTTAGGACTCTTGCTCTCTACCGCAGACCCCCTGCGGCCCCAAAAAAAAGTGAGGTGGCGAATCCGACCTCGCAGGTGAGGTCCGCCTCCTTGATGGCATTTTGCTTCTTCCAGGAATGGCTCGCCATGCTTGAGATGGTATCACCGAGACCCAAAAAGTCAATAATGGACGGGATGGCGGTCACCATGAGCCCATCCTGGGAATCATCCATGGTGCCCAAGGCGGCAGAGATCACGGCATCTTCATCGCCCGAAAATGGTACGTCGCCATCGATGGAGGGCGCGTCCTCGATGTCACTGTCATCATCGATCATGCCAAAGAGACCTGAGTTGCTCGCCCTTGGTCTGGGAGTACAGGAAGTCGGTGATCCAACGTTAACAGGGGACATGTCCTCGGCGTAGCTCTGAAGGACGCTCATGAGCTTCTCACATAAGCTCTTTTGCTGGCTCTGGATGCTGGACTCGATCATTGATCGTAGAAAGGTGCGTTTCACAAAGTCTGCGGAGAAAGACTTGGTGACTAGAACGCCATCACCTTCGCGAACCATCTCAATGCTCTCCTCAACACTGAAATGATCCCCATACGGCACGTCGTGCGACGTGCAGGAAGATTTCAGTCTAACTATGTCTCGTCCCTGGTCGTCATGTGCCAAGCCAAAGCCATAACTCACACTCACTCGTGTCTCCTTTGGGCACATGGGTTGTGGCGGAACGGGCATGATCATGGTGGCTTTGCGTCTCCCGCTTGTTATTCGAGCACCCGAACTGGGTGGTGTATCCCAGTGCCATGGTTCCGCCGCAAAGTCCCGCACGTCCAAACTTTGCCAGTAGTCCTGAGTGCAAGCGGACCCACAGCTCTAGACCAGCTTATGCTTCGAACATGTAGACTCGAGCCACCGTTGTGCACTCCTTCGAATCAAACTAAGCACCCTTGTTTCTGCTCAGCTGCCCAGATCAGACATCCGGTGCCCCAATCGTCTGCCAGGATTGCATCCTAGCATGAGCTTCCCTCTGCCTTCCAGCCCCTGCCCCAACCCTCAACCCAGGATCAAAACATTTACAAGGAACCGTGAAGGACTGCGAAGTGGGTGACCAGGCTGGTCCGACATTTTTCGCCCACGTGCCTCAACCTGTTGAAGCGACAGGGCTTTGACATGGGCGCACAATACCTTGGTGAAGGATTGAAGGCGGTTGAGGGTAAAGCGCTTGGGGGGTGCTTTGGTGGGAAAGCTCTTGTGGGAAGGCACAAAAGCCTAGTACCATGCAGGCGAGTCACCGGAATCATGTGGACGTTGGGAAGTTTGAAGTCTTGAGTGGCATCGGGAAAGGTGCATCACAACATGCCTTCATGAAAACGAAAGCCATCTTACCAACCTTCCCCATGTGCGGGCACCTATCAGCCCACAGCGCACTTCCGGGTGTCAAGTGTCAAGCTACCGGCAATCGTCCTAGACCAGGCTAGACCAAGTTGGATCCAATTCACTTTGGTTTGGCACCCTGATGGGCAGCCAGCGCAAACGAATGCAAAATCACCTTACGCTCTAGCATTGGAGATCTCCAACAGAAAACCTCCGGCTATGGCGACATTGACAAAAGCGACTGCAAAGCTGGCCAGGCCCATCTTCGACATGCTTCTTTCAATGCACTGCACCGAAGCAACGTTACGAAACTGCAAGCATATCGGTTCTGCTTTTTCGTTGTTTTCAACGCTACTCGCGGGAATGTGCGAAAGCTGCCGCATCATCATCAGCGCAGCACCTGCGCAACGCCCACACGTGCCGGCTTGCTTCTTTTTGCGCATGTGACAGTACCGGCTCAAGCAAACGTGTGCTGCATCCTAAATTAGACTTCGTCGCAAAGCTCTGACGTGCTTGCACAGAACCACCATACTTACAGGCCCTGACAGTTGATAGCCTGGACTAACCCCACTACCTCGAAGTTCATGCCCTGCACAGACAATGCTCTCAGCCCTGCCTGCAGGTGCGCAGCTTGATGAGCGAACTTCCCTTTTCCCGGATGCTGTGCCTCTCCATGCTCTCCCTCCGATGTGATTGCAAGGTTTAAGCTTGCCAGCGTGTATGCGATCTGCTATCGCCCCTTGTGACAAACAAGAGCTCGCACTGCTCTTCGCCCTGGACAAGAAGGCCAAGAACGCGGGATAACGGGAATCATCCACTGAAACCCCAACATCCTCAATCCCTCCTAGCTCCCAAACTCAAAATGCGAGTCGCCAATTTATCTCATTTCGAGGCCCGCCGATCCCTGTGTGCCTCGTCCGTGCGCCCGGGCGAGGCCGTCTGGCCTAGTTCTTCCACTCGAGCTCTCTGGCCACGAGACAGTTGAAGCCTCTAAGTGCGTCTTATCGGCCTTCTGCAACTCCACTGTCTAGGGTGTCTTCTGCACCCACTAGAGAAATGGGTCCAGATATGTTTAAAGTTACTTTGTTTTTTTGTGTGATGTTGTTTGTTGTTGCTGCTGGCTGCAGCGTAGCCCTTTAAGGTTCAGGGTTTAGGGCCTAAACCCTAAGCCCTAAACCCTAGATCCACCGAAAGCGGACGCAGAAAGCCACAAGCAGAACGCATCAACAAATCCCAAATAGAAACAACAAAAGCCCTAAAACAGTTCATTTCTCCCAATGGGTCCTATTCCACGCTTAACTACCGAAGGCCAGGCACAGGCGGCCGCAGGATGCATGCTCTGACTAAATCAGTCACATCATACTCGTACTGGATACCTTCGTGGGTAATTTCATGTAATCTATTGACCTTTTCTTCATACAGCCCCTACCTTACACTCCTCGAACACCTAGCACACCTACACCTCACAAACACAAGGGGCAAAGCATTCAAAGCCAGGGGCTCCGGCAGCCCTTGAAGTTGGAACCTGGGGTGTAGCTGGCCATCTGCAAAAATTGAAGAAAGCCAACAAGCGAACAAATGCATGCCATAGTCATGCCTCTACGTGGCATAGATGCCCCAGCTTTGCATGTAGAATTGTGCTCGGAATGATCCGAGGGGTGGTGGACAAAACCCACACTGCGCGCCCGAGTTGTCGGCGCTTGGGGGCTTGGTGTCGACTTCCGGCCTTCCGAGGTGTTGAGTGTGTAGAGGTGGAGAAGAAGGAAAGTGGCGCACAGTGTATGGTTGGGCGGGAACATGCGGGAACCCCCGGCCCAATGCAAGGCGCATCATCACCTGCTTTTGATTAAATCGCCACATCACCTACAAAACTATCCCTAAAGCTGCCTTGGGGCCGAGTCGTTCGTCGTTGCATCGCCGTCGGATGCTTGGAGCCTCAGGAATTTGACGCATGAGATGCGTAGGCTGCAAGGACATTGCGCGCGCGCAGGCCGCCAATCCATTACAAACAAGGCAGCGGCGGCAGCTACGGACTTTAGTTTCGTCTGAAAAGTCTTGATTCCCGCCGAAGGTCAACATGCTGAACTCTAGGCAACATTTTACGGTTGGCTGATTGCCTGGACATCACGGAGTGTGCAGCATAATCCTTCTCGGCCTTGGGTACCTCTAACCCCCTTCCCAACACAGCCCCCGCCCCCCACCCCCTTCTTCTTTTGTGTGACCCCCTGCCCGGGTTGTTATTTTCTTGTCTGGTCTAGACATGAGCCTGCGTGCTGCAACAGGATCCCCAAAAAGGGACCAATTGCACCAGGCCTCTCAAATCCCTGAAGCCTAGCAGCACCTTCGCCTCGCCGCTGGCAGGCCCAGGCCGAGGTGGGTCGCGTAGCGTTGAATGTTAAGTAGCATGATTTATAAAGGCCGGTGGTTCTCTGTTACCCTTATTCTTAATATAGCTCCTAGATACCCTAGTAAGAACCCCCTACAAAACAGAAACCCTACTTAAAACCCTAATGCGTTGTGGGCCCTCTTCCTTAGTGATCAGACCAGGTTCGTCCTTAACCGTTCGAGGCAGGCTAATGCTCATTGGATCCCAAACTTTCACGCCCTACTCCAGTAATTCCTTTTACGGCAGCTTGGTTGCATTGTACACAGCTTAATTGGATGGAACTCTGATGCTCGTGCGGCGGAGGAGTGAGTGTCTGTAAAAGAAACCCTACTTAAAGCGACCACCACAGGCAATATAAAGGATTACCATGTATGTTTCTGGGCTGCCGCATTCCATCCGGCAGCAAGCAGTTCTTGCAGTTGAACAAGGACCGCGGAACAGGTCAAGACCCCCACGTCACCGTGGGCGTCGAGCTGCTGGCAGCCGTGGATCCTGCACTTCGGAGTGTTTACAAAATAATACTAATAACAAGAATGATAATCATGATAATAATAATGATAATGATAATGATGATGATAATCATCATGATAATCATCATGACAATAATAATGATAATACTCATGATACCAATACTAATGATAACCTTCAGTTAGCCGATAAACCGACAAAGGCAGAAACCTGAAATCCTTTGCAATCCTTAGCGCAAACGGCCTCCGTCGACGTTTTCGACGTGTGCGCTGCTTGCGTCATGACCATCCTGCTTGCTGCCAAAAAGGGCATCGCCGGCTTAGGGGCCTAGAGTAGGTTTGCGTAGACATTGTGGGATTAAGTGATGGCTAGGAGGGCCGAGCGCACGAGGTTGACGGCGGACCAGCATTCAAACCTGAGATCGTGCCTGCAAGCGGCTTTGGCTCTTTGTCATCTCAGCCTCCATGGCATCCGACTGCGCAGCCTGTGGCCAACAACGGGCACGGCATGGCAAAGCTTGACGGCAGCCAAAGTAGCAGCTCCAACACGGCCCTTCTGGGCTGCATGGCCTGCATCTATATGAGAGACACACAGTGGATGCATGCCGGTGCAGCTGCCTCGGCTTTCTCACTCGATGTGGATGTCGCATCAGCACGAAGAGGAGTCTCTGCCGAGACCTGCTGAAATCCAGCAGGAGCGGGATGTCTAATTGAGATACAGCAGGCATGACTTAGGGTACTAGCCCGTGGTCGGCTGATTGCATTGCTGTGCTTCTAGTGTTCTACCGATCTTCAGTTGCGCCCCGTGCCCATTTATGCCCAATGTGCCCTACAGTGCCCTCCAATGCCCTCGGCTTCTGGCGAATGGCACCTGGCCTCTTCCATCAAGGCCGAAGTTTCCATGGAAAAGACACGAAAGTAGTAATCAAGACGTTGGAGACCGGATCCGACTCTCCTGCTAGTACAAGGGTACACGACGAGCGCTGCAAGGACACAGGTGTCATTGCATGGATCTTGATCAAGATTGACATGCTGCTTTGGTATGTATGGTGCGCTTTTTGCCTAACTTCCAACATGCAAATGGCTTGGGAAACATTGTTGGAAAATGATGGCTGGGCCCTTACATGCCTTGGCCACCGTCAATACCTATTCTTCTCACTGCGTACTGCAGTTGCTCAGCCGAGAGAGCCTCGAAGTGCCTGAGGATCAACAACACCAGAAAGAAATGGGCCTCCTAAACAGATGGGCTCCTCAACATATGGGCTCATGTCAAGCCCTTTACGCGCCTTGAGGGCCTTGGAAGGAAATTGGCTCTTGCGGCATCTGCACTGTCCTTACTGACTAGCGAACCTGGCGACAAGTGCAAAACCGTGGATCCAATTCACTTTGGTTTGGCACCGCCAGCAAACGAATGCAAATCACCTTACTCTGTAGCATTGGAGATCTCCAAAAGAAAACCTCCGGCTATGGCGACATTGACAAAAGCGACTGCAAAGCTGGTCAGGCCCATCTTG